AACTGATATTTTCTAAATTCATCTCTTTATGTAAGCTACAAGTTCACAAAGTTTCATTAAAATCAGAATTTAACACCTCGAGAGGTTCCCTTGTTAGTTTCTCTCCGCTTGTTATGTAGATGCGTATGTTAACTGCGTTAACGATAACGTGCATTAATAGTTTCGCTGTCTTCCTCGATTTCTCTGTTCGATTAGAACGAATGCGTAACGACCGGGAATGACTTTAACAAGGAAACTTTCGCAACTGTCTCTCTTGGAGTTCATGGAGCTCCAGGTGTATATCGTGAAGTAGCTTGCGACGAGAGACGTGCACTTTCTTCTTCGCCTACTATAGTACAGTCTTAGAGGTTGAAACTAAGGGCGAAACTATAAATGAACGTTTGAGATAGAAGTTTCACGTTGAAAGCGCTTTGTAATATTATATATTTAGATTTTTCAAGTAAATTGTAAATTGTAAGCAAATCTTAATTTTCCTCCGAAACTTTACATTTATCCGTGAAATTTACATTTATACTCATAAAAGAACAAAATTTCAAGTTAACTTTATGAAAAGCTGTTTCAGTTGCAAGAATAATCTCCATTAAAATTCACATTTTTTTCTTACTAAAATTATATTAAACTAGATTAAAGTCGTAAAAGAAACAATTGAAAGAAATAGTTGTAAAAGTTTCGCTATAAAATTATGCATTTCAAGATTTTACTTTCAAAAGTTGTATGCATTGTAGCAAGAGTTTCCAATACTTAGAATAGGGAATCATTTCCGTTTACGTATTCAATAAATAGTCAATGCAGAATTTTTCGCGAGGTACTTTCCAAAGGTTCTCGAATGAATACTCGGCCCAAAAGGTGTCCATTAACCATCGATGGGAAGGTAATCTGTAGATAATCTGTCGACATTGCCACGCGTGTTTCAGCTAAGAGATTTGTATAATTAAATTGAAGTTGAAATTTGCGAATTTATTTCAATGCAAGGAATAAATGGACACAATTCTCTCGGTTAGATTTTTACTACTATGATTTAAGATGTATAAAATTAAAAATGTAGAAGTTTTCTGCCATTGAAAATAGGCTCGAAAATTTCGAGTGCATTTTGCCACGATTCCGTGACTTCTGAGGAAACAATCTACTATTTTCTGCCTAATTTTTTAATCTAATTTTCCTCAAAACACTTTGCCCTATAGATAAACTTAATAGACATTAGAAAAATTATTACAAAATAATAACAATATAAATAATGTCAATTTTTATGCAGAATTAGAATTTCGTGTTTATGTTGTTACCGTAACATTTTTTTTAATCGATTTTGGATTCAATCTGTAATTATCTTGAAGAAAACTAAATCAGAAAATAATAGATTTTTTCCTTAGGAATTCACAGAACCATAGTAAACGCAAGACACTCGAAATATTTAGACTTGTCCTCAATAACACATAAAAATTCCTACATTATAAGTTTTGTATTACAAATTCATTTCTACACCTTAAGATGGTAATAACAGTAGTTGATAATAAGTAGTAATAACACTTGAACAGAAAACTGTATCAATTTATTCCTTTCCATAAAAAATAAATTCGTAAATTTTGCGTACAATTCAAATATACAAATCTTGTATTCCTCCTTAAAGCCGAGTTGCTTTTAATCGAGGACAAGCTTACGTTCTCGGAGAACGACACTGCGAGCTCGTATACTAGCTGCGTGTGCATTCGGTCGATCTTGAGCATAGAATTGCGATAGGTATATACAGTGTTTGATGTACGATGCGATGTAAATTTCTAGATAGAGATCGATATCGCGCAGGGCTCGTATGGCACAAACTGTTTTTATAGCGTTCTCTCGTGAGAGCCAAAGGCAAAGCTAAAGTTTCTATGCAAGTGCAACTTCGATTTTTAGAGACATTCTATTCCGCGAACGTATATCGGCCTCGCGTAACAGCTGTAACGTATATGTAATAAGACCAGACGTCCCGCTTTCGAGATGATTGTTTTGCTGTCCTGCCAAATATGTTAAAATATATATATATATATAATTGTATTATTTCTTAAAAATAAATTGCTATTATTGTATTTATGTTTACATCCATACATTCTCTCAACATAAAGTTGTCTCGCTTTGGATTCAAAACTATTTGATTACATTACAATCGTGTAAAAGAAAAATAAATATGTTTGACGGGATGTAAATATTACAGAGTAATCTAAGGAAAATTAAAAAGATATATATATATAAACTGAAAAAAATGCATATAATTTTATATGGAAATTATGTCTATGACCGGAAAATTACCTAAATATGATTGGAAAGGACCTCGCACAAAATCATAGGATTTTGACCTTCGGTGAAATTGGCTGAAATTTTAGTATGTTGTAGTTCTTGGCTCACTGATCAAAAGTGTTTATAGGCATAAAGCTTGAAAATGACTAGTTTTTTTGTTACAACCGTTTAAAATTTTATTTTATTAATGCCTCAAAATCAAGTTTCTGTAATAAATCAAGAGATTTTAGATAACAATATGCCATCCACTCTCACCACCCTCACTCTCACTCCCCCCCCCCACACACATACGCCCCTGCGCGCGTATTTTATATAAAACAGGTGCATAAAAATCAAAGAAAATCTTTTTTATTACGCTTTCATGTGTGTGCGTGCGTGCGTGCGTGCGTTTCGCACGTTCTCAGAATTACCCGGAATGAACGATGTTGGACATGATAGACGTTTTATTCTTTTGAGGTTGATTTTCGTGAGTCCTCTTGTCTCTTACGTTTGGGATGCACAAAAAAAACAAAAAGAAGAGGAAAAAGAATTTTCTATCCTGTATTGTTATCGCACTTCAGCAAGCACCCAATATTTTTGCACACGATGCTTCACGCGCGGAAATAAACATTCGGGTCGTGATAATCAAGCACCTCGCACGTGAGAGGTAAAGAAACTCACGCATTTCAAATGATATGCGTGAGAGAAGTAAAAATCTAGCAGAAAAAAAAATCTAAATACATGATTATAAAAATTTTCTTCGATTTTTATGTCACCTTTCCATATAAAATTGCGCGCGCGGGAGTATGTGCGTAGGTGTGGGTGTGGGCGGTGAGGATGAAGTGAGGGAGTGGATGATGAAGAAGGGAGTGAGGATGAGGATGGTGAGAGTGGATGGCATATTATTATCTAAAATCTCTTGATTTATTACAGAAACTTGATTTTGAGACATTAACAAAATAAAACTTTAAACGGCTGTAACAAAAAAACTAATCATTTTCAAACTTTGTGCCTATAAACACTGTGCGGGGTTCTTTACAATTTCCAGTAAATTTCCAATCATATTTATGTAATTTTCCAGTATAAGTCATAAACATGTAATTTCCATGTAAAATTACATGCATTTTTTTCAGTGTATACAGGGTGTATTTGAAATAACGTACATTAATCATACAGTACTATTCCTAATAAAAAACTGAGTCTAAAAGTCCTCTACTATTTTGCAATTTTCGTAATAGTTAACAAGATATTAATTATAAAAAATCGCTGAATATTGGTTTTCAATAATTTTTTACTCAAATACTATTTACTTTACAGAAAAACTGCAACAGACAAAAATCATTTATTTTCATCTTATAAAACTTTAGGAATTTTTTCAGAATTCTTTATCAACTTTTTAGTATTGCATTTTCTTATTTTTACCAACATGAGAAAATACGATATTAAAAAATTCTGAAAAAATTCCTAAAGTTTTATAAGATGAAAATAAATGATTTTTGTCTGTTGCAGTTTTTCTGTAAAGTAAATAGTATTTGAGTAAAAAATTATTGAAAACCAATATTCAGCGATTTTTTATAATTAATATCTTGTTAACTATTACGAAAATTGCAAAATGGTAAAGGACTTTTCGACTCAGTTTTTTATTAGAAATAGCACTGTGTGATTAATGTACGTTATTTTAGATACATCCTGTATATATGTATACACATAAATGATAGCTGTGCGAAATTATTAAGTCTATCGAAAATTCCTTGTAAATTCGACAAAGGTATCGTCTTGCGACAAAGGCGTCGTTTTTACATTATATTTTATTGTACGTGTACGAAGAAATAATAACACTGAGCATATAATATCATTTACGCGTATCGCTTTCGTACCAGTTTGATCGTCAAGCTTTATTAAATCGGAGCTATATCGTTCCCATGATCACTGATTTATTTGCCGATCGCGTTTCTCGGTATTAGGATCAGTTACCGCGTGCATGTCAGTTATCGTGCACTATGGCTCACGTCGAGTTTCATATAGTTGTATAGTCGGATGATTCATTACTGCCGATGAGAAAATGAAGGATAACGGCGCGCAAATGTGAAAGATACCCAAGCAAATCTTAAATCACGTAGGTTCGTTTTCAAATGCGAACGTTGCTTTTTCTCTTTAGAGAAAACGAGCTTTCCGAGCTTTTCTTTTTGCGATATCCTGTCGAAGTGTAAGTAATCGAGAAAGACATATCGATTTCCGACCTTTCAATCGTTCTAAAAAATTTCCTATACTATACATTTATCCGAGCTACTGCTACAGTTCCTGCTTTGATTACACTTTGACTAGATTCTAATTAATTTAGATTTAATTCTAATGGTACAGTGTCTTTAGAATTAATGCATTTAAAATCATTAACATCCTTAATAATAGTGTTTTTAAATTATAATTTAATTTTTATAACACTAAAAAGGAGATTAGAAAAAAAAAGAATATGGTAGAAATTGTAAGTTAAAAATAAAAGTAATAGATGTAATAAAAAGAATGAATGATTCAAGTAGAGACAATAATTTTAATAAGTAGATAATAAGGCGATCTATTTTAACGTAATCGCATTTCTCTATAATGCCCCTATTGTCATTCGTATTAAAAGGGATAATTTGAGCAGCAATTTAGTTGGAGATAGACGTTTTAACATTCTAAAATAACTTGTTAAGAAGATCGTCAGATAAGTAGAATGACAAATCGCTCATCGCACCACTTTCTGTTTGCAGCTTCGACGAGACGTCTGGCTACTATCGACGAGGGCCGCCGAGTCAGTGACTTATCGGGCGAGTCGATGAAGGACAGTAACGAGGTGGAAGTGACGTCATTGGAGGAAGCCAAGTCGGTCATAGCGGCACTCAGAGCGAGACAGCGGGCACAAGCCCACCAAATGCTCGCTTGGCGAAGGACCCTTAAATTGCAGGTAAGTTTCAATTACCAGGAAGGATTTCTACATGCAAAGGCAATCCCACTCGCCGTCTTCGACGAGGAAATCAGTCGGCAGGAACGCAGAACGATCGATCAAAGCTATTACCTCTGAAAACCATAAAACACGCTCAGCCCACGAACTAATGTTACAGACAGTGAAATATTAGATACATGGTGATCCATTTAGACGCGAAGAGGTACATATTTTTGTCGCTTTACGAAGCGAACGAATGAATATTTTAAATAAACGTTATATGCTTACACACAGAGATACTGTAATTGGAAAATATCCATTAACCCATTAAGGACCAAGACAAATTTTTTTTCTCAATTTTTTCTCAAAATGTAAAATCCTTTTAATGGCAAGCTACTATATCCTTAAGGAGCCTTTTGGTAGAGATTTCGCATCCTAAAGTTGATCTATTTTTTTTGGTCGAAAAATCGATTAGCGGTCCTTAATGGGTTAAATTAAAATCAAGGTGCAAATTGATTGAAAAAAAAAAAAATAAGTTTCATCAGATAGTTTGTTAATCAAAAGTTTAACCGAGGTTTAACTTTTGCCAGAAATATCTTTTGTTTTTAAACATTTTCGCAAGATTTTGATGAAAAATATGAATTCTAATTTTCCATCCGATCATGAAATACATTTTGGCATTCTATATCAATTAGATCAGACTTGTCTAATTTGAGCTCCGGAGCTAAAACACAAAGTCATTGACGCAAAAAAATCATTATGGGTAAGATTTCGGAGATTGTAAAGTGTTGATACGCATTTGAGCGATGCTTATCAACACTTTACAATCCATGAAATCTTACATCAAAGGCTTTGCGTTTTGACTCTGGAGCTCAAATTGGACAGGTCTGCGTTAGACCTATAATGATGCCAATGGGAAAGATAAATTCCAGTAGGTAAGCGAAACGGTATTGCCGTTACGAGATTGCTGTAAAGAGATTTCCGAGCATTTCTGGGATAAGCTGGGAGCGTCTCGTGACATCCTACGATTTTGCATCTGACTTTGCGTGACTACAGGTAATTCTCGGTTTGCGAGGGTAGACTCGCGAGAAAAAAAAGACTCCCACTAAATTCGCTGGCAATCTGCGGAGGAATAATTGCTACAAAATGATCTTCTTTCTCCCTTAGACGGCGCCAGGAAAAATACCAGCGGGACGGCCGATTATCAAGTAACGACTTTCCCATGTACTTTTATCGTATTCAAATGGAGGAATGTTAATATTTGATGAGTTCATTTGGGTAGTAAAAGACAATTTTTCGTGATATGCCTATGCACGCAAATTGCGCAGATACGTTACGGAATCCGGATTTAAAAGAAAGTTTTTTTTTAACAAAACTTTCCATTTTTTATAATCGCTTATTTATTTGTTGTATGTTTTCTATTTCTTTTTGTAAAAACTTATTTCTCTTCAATGTGTTAATCAGTGAAAATGGAGAAATGTGTATTCTGAATCAGTTGATGTGGTAATACGTAGATTAAACATGAAAAACACTAGTTATGAGGATCATACTTGTCTTTTTCTTTTTTCCGAATCAGAAAAAAGAAAAAGACAAGTATTATCCTCATAACTAGTGTTTTTCATGTTTAATGTACATATTACCACATCAACTTGATATATTTATTGCCATGTGTAAAACAAAATTCTTATAACGAAAAATTTAAATTTTTAAGACTGTAGCACAGATTTTTGCATAACGCGTGAAAATAAAGGATTCAGATGGATTCTTTCTCGGATTCTCTTATGCGTTATTATGCGTTATGCAAAAGTCATCTGTGTTGCGGCCTTTATTTTTTTATGAAAGTATGAACAACGACTCTCTCTCTCTCTCTCTCTCTCTCTCTCTCTCTCTCTCTCTCTCTCTCTCTCTCTACGTGAAAAGAATTTTTAATTATTTTCCATTACTTGTTCATAAAACAAAACGATAATTTAAATTTTATTTTTCTTTTTAATTTAAAATACATTAATACGGACGATTATTACTTTAAAACTAAATGGATTGATTTACATTTTGACACACATAGAAATTAAAAATAACAAAATGTTGTTTAACTTCAAGGATTGGGTTACCATTGCTTCTTTGATATTTAACAATAGAAGAAATGCCTTCTTATTTCCCTTTCCTTAATGCAGAATCTGCCTATTAATCGGTCGTTCACATGATGCGTCTATCGGCCAAACATGTCAATTATTTTCCGCGTTTATCTTCGAAGTGCGTGACACGCAACGGCGATAGCACCTGGTCGTCTTACGGTACCGTTTATATTGCACACAATAGCGAGAGTAATGGACTCATCCTCCATGCGTGCGGGAGGACGGAAGGAAGGAGACGCAATGCTCATGCGAAGCGGTCGGCCGGATATGTATGATGTGTAGGTATACCGTACACCGTTGTGCAAACATGCAGCTTCACGCACGTATCGACGCGTACAGAGGAAACGCGTGCAGCGGAACGGCACGTATCTGCCGTTCACGCATACTGATAACGTGCTTCGCGTAAAGCAAATGGACTCGAGAGATGTTTGCACAAATACGCACGAATCGGTGCGCGGTGTTCGATAAAAAAAAAAAAGAAAAAATTACGATTCAACACTGTACCGTCCTAATGAGCGATATCCATCCGAACGGTATATAGTATAGAGATGAGAAAACCAGGGAAATCAATTAACAGCGCTAAATAAATATTAATAATAATAGCAGCGAGAGATCGTTTGCTAATTAATTACTTAATATTGAAAGTAAATGGCGAAACGCCGGCTGGTTTCGTAGCCACGAATTCGTGCCGTTATTAATTACCACATGAATTATCGGGTGAAGAGCCCGCAGTTTATTGTACCCGCGAATTAATGGGAAATTAACGCGATCGACTCGTTTAATTTTGTTATCGTGACGTTTTGCAGGAGGACCTGGTGGCCCGATTGACGCGAGAAAAAGCTGAGCAGCTGCGGACGTTGTCGTCGCAACTTCTGCTGTTTGAATCAAGGCTCTGCAGGAAGCAGAAGGAAATCGAAGCCAGTCTGAGTCAGCGAGAATCCATTATTTTACGACAACAAAGGGTGATCCGGCAATTGCAGAATAGATTAGCGGAGAGGAGCACGAGCACTCGGGACTCGCCACCTTGCGACGCCCTGGACAGATTGGACAGTCTCGGGGATAGCGACAGCGCCGTGGTGCTCGAGGAGGCCGCGGACGATCCTGCCCCACCAAGGTGAATATTTTTAAAATAGGTTTAAGGCCATGGCACAAACATCTTCCGTAACAGTAACCATAAGACGTACCGTAAGAATCAGCCAATTAGAACTAAGAGTTTAAAAGAATTCGCGACTGTGATTGATTGATTCTTATGGTACGTCTTAGGCGTTGTCTACAATATGCGAAGTAAGCTTGGTTTAAGAAGTAAGAGTAAGAAATTGACCAATCACAGTCGATTGTGAAAAGAATAATCGACTGTGATTGGTCAATTTCTTACTCTTACTTCTTAAACCAAACTTACTACTGTATTGTAAACGGCCTTTATGGTTACTGTTACGAAAGGTGTGTGCTATGGCCTTTACACACACATCAGCTATGAAATTAAGAGAGCTTTTACTGCGCCTATGCAATAACGAAATATAAGGATATGAAAATTAAGAATGAAATAAAAGTGCACTGGAAAAATATAATGTTGTATCAAGCATTATTTTAATTGAAAATAATCTTATTGATTTAACAACAGTATTATTGAAACAAAATTTTATTGAAACAAGAGCATAACGTATTTGTTTCATTAATGACATTGAATGAACAAAATTTTTATTTAAAATAATGTTGTTAATACATTTTTTCAGTATGCAAAAACAAAAATATAGACAAGACTTAAAAGATGCTGAAAGACAATTTCAATTTCTTTTAGAAAAGTTTGTTTTCAATGTGCAATTGCGACCAGTACAGACTGCGTCTGTTGGAATAACGTTAAAAATAATAATAAATAGTTTAAAAAATACTTATTTATGTCGGTGTATAATTATATTGAAATACATTCAAAATTTCTATGATAAAGTTGCAATGTATTTTAAGCTCACTTTAATCTATGATTTACGATAAAATGCGGAATTAATTATTTGTTATATTATGTGTAACGAAAAACGTTTTTAACGAAACATATTTGAAAAATCGCAGTATAATATCTAATAAACAAATCAAAATACATATGAAAAAATACATAAAGCTCTATAAACAGGATTCTCCCAAATTCTTTCACAAATTATAAATCATCTACAATTGATTCTATATATATTCTAATTGTAATCCACAGGTTTCGTTCTAACATTACTGATGTAACTGTGATCCGTTCCGTGTCCGATGCGGTAGAACCATCGAATAAATATTCATCGATGCGACGTTGCAACGGTTTCCTCAGAAGACCGGAGATTCTGGAAACCGTGTATTCCGTGGAGGAGGACGGTGACAGCGAAAATAATCAGGATCCGTCGGAGTCGACAGAGAATTCGGAATACGAGGACAGGAGAATGAAAAACTTAGGCAACGGAAAGGGCAGGCTTCAGGATCTCTACGGCAGTTTCGAAAGGTTGGCTCAAGACACGGATTCTCCACCCAGCGAAAGACCCAGAGACGAAAGCCAACAGGCGCAGGTAACAGAAGCTATTTGAAATCTTATCGGCGTATAAGAAAATTCATTTTGTTAGAAAATATTTGTGAAATACTCGAATTGAAACATCTTAATGAAGAAAAGTAACACAAAATTTACATAAACTTAGAACGTAATGCAAATTAAACTTTAATTTAAGATATATTCTTCATTTGGATTTTCCTCACGTTTAGCTTCGAAATCCACGCTAGTGCACGGGTAAATTGATCTTTCCATAAGAAATCTATTTACCCTTTCAGGTGACGTACAATAGGGTAATGAGCAATCACAGATCCGTGACGAAGCCAAAAGACGTGAAGTACAAGAGGATAAATAAGGCAAAATCGAAAAGTCTTGAAGAACTTAGAGGACGTCTTAGAAATTGGGTCGAGAAAGGAAATAAAATAGCTATATCGTTGGATCAGTCATATGCTTGAGCCTACTACCATATATGAAAGTATATAAATTATTATTTTATGAACAAAAACGTGTAATGCCCAAAATTCTATTTATAAGATTAAAGAATGGACTTTTATCTTTAGTAAAGTCGCTACTGTATTTAATTGAAATATCATCGCTCCATGTGATATTTACTGTAATATTTTGTCATGTTAATTATGCACCTAGATCAAAGATAAATGATTCGAGACTTGTGATATGATTTTATTATATACAAAAATGCGTAGTTAAGAAGAATTTATTATATCTGGCGAAGAAATAATTAACTCTTTAAGTATTATAATAAAAATTTATAACAAATATTGTATATAATTTCCATCTTTTTATTTTTGTTATAATAAATTTTTCAAATATTATTACGATTAAACATTTATCAATAATATTCGTATATCATTTTTTCGAAGTTAAAGATAGCATTAAAAAATCTGGAAAACAATATTAAATATATTAAAAGCGTGAAAAGTAAATAATCTACTAAGATTCAAAACAGATTTGCGATTCAATTATATTATAATACTCAAGGGTTAACATAAACTCGAAACGTTACATGCGTTTGTGAATTGCGCATGAATATTTTTGATCCTTCTTTCATTAATAATAAATATTAACTTGTGTGACTATATTCTAAATACATACGAGAAAAACTTTAGGCGGCCTAAATATTAATGAACTACAAATATAATAAGAAGTGTACATCTTTGAGCATCAAGAAAGTTCACTATTAACATGAAAATGTTAAACATCACACACGTTTCTCTGCACATACCCAATTACATCAAAATAAGATATTTTTTTACTATTAAATGCTACTTATTATAATTACTCTCAGTTCAGAAAGATATATTACGTCACATTTTACTGTAGAAAATTTAAAATTAAATCCTTTCTGTAACTTGAAATGACTTAGAAATTATACCGAGATTTCTTTAATTTAAACAGAGGCATATATTGAGAACGAATTTTTAAAAGATTTTTTTTTAATTAAAAAGCTTCTTTTTTAAAAGTCACTTAAAATATATAATTAAGAAAAAATATATAAACTAAATGCTCTTGATAATCCACTCAAATATATTATTATTTGTGTGCCTATCTTTCTATAAACAAATATTGAGGACATATTGTATTCTTAATATATGTATATAAAAATCATTATCTTGATGTTTACTTAAAATCTTAAGAACCTTAAAAATGATAATCATATGAAGCAAAATATATTGGATATTTTCGATTAAATCTTTTTATATAAAAGTTGAAAATTTCTATTCAATGCATTGCATTGATCCAAAGAATCTGTATTTACAGTTAAAATCCAGTTGCTCTTAATTGTTATAAACTCATATATAACTATATTGTCCTACTTTAAACATTTTCGATAAATTAAACAATAAAATACTTAAAAAAATCGAAAATTTGAAAGAACTACAAAATTTCCTGTGCCCCTACACATTAAATTAAAATTTTATAAAATTTATGTATATTTCATTGTATATATAAAAAATTCTAAAGCTACATGTACTTTTATATTGAATGTAAACTCTGACGTGCTGCGACTATATACACCGTGTATGGCAGCGTTTTATAAAGAAACCATGTCTTTGTAATCGCACTATTTATAATGATATTTTTACATGCACATGCATTTTACTGTTCTTCTCATAAAATAGAAAAATACGCTCGAAGATTATTGTTTTGGTACCAATTGCTTGTGATATAAGTACAATTTCTCTCCATTTTGAATGCATCTATTCATCTTTCATTATCGTGCTTTTGAGCAGACAAGTATAAGAAAGCTACCGACAATCCGTATTTTTGCGAGTCTAAAGAAAAAGAAGAAGAAACAAGCGAATGCCTCTGGCAGTACCTTTGTAAATAATTGGAAACGTGGACGTAATGTTCATGCTAGATATAGATTCTGCGATAGTTATATATGTTATGTAGATAGACTTATTATATATATCGAAATAATAAATTGTAATATTATTGTATTTTGAGTTTAATGTTCCTGTGGACTGAGTAACAGTCACCGAGAGATCTCGTGCATAGTATATTTGCACGCGCTTATAAATGCATATGCATATAAAAAATATGGATATATATTATATAAATATATAAATAAAGTATATACATGTCGAGATAGTGTAATATGATGAGTCTACTTAGAATGATACAAAAAAATAAAATTTTTGAGGTGCATAAGCAAATCATGTGAAATTAAGAGTCACATTGGCTTATCATAATCCGAGTATACACGTGCAATGGCGCTTTAGTACAGAAAAAAATGATAATTATTTTAATTTATATAAACTCGTACAACGTGTATGCTGTCGCTTTACTAGGAAATGAGTAGACTGCTATCGATATCCTGTCACGTAACTATTTTAATTATTATTAGATCCCAAATAAATTATGTCGATGGAAGACGCCGATAGTGTATTTATTATCATTCCTATCTTTTCCGATTGTTTCCCGTTATATTAATAAATGTTACAAATCGCATAATATAAATTTGAAACCAGTAATAAAACACTATTAAAGATCTTAGGTATATGTGGCCTTATATTGTTTATTGAACAATAATATCAATTTATTTGATAGTGACTGCAATTATATCGAAGAAAAGGGGCTGTAGATACTTAATAGCATATTTTTATTTTTTATACACATACACATGTATATATTTTTTAGGACATGTAAAAATAAACACAGATGTACACGTGTAAATGTGCATTGTTTATGAGAAGAAATACAATATTATCGTAACAGCATGTGGCAATTCAAAAATATTATTTTAACAAGAATGATCTCTTTTTTGTTATAAACATACCTGATAAGATAACTATACATTTGACATCATTTGCATTTCTGTTATATGTATTTAAGCAAAAAAATAATAGTGTGAGGTATGAGAAGAATTTCGATCGATTTTCGAAATGGTTTGCTGATATCTATACTCTATATATAATATATCTACTGATTCTATGTACATACACACACACACACACACACACACACACATATATATACAGGGTGTTTCCAAATTAAATGGCAAAACTTCGGGAGCGTGTAGAGGAGTAAAAAACTAAGAAAAAAAGTCCTATGGACATATGCTCCTTTTTGCTTTGTTTCGCAGGAAATCACGAAAAAAGAAAAAAATATATTTAATTTATTATTTTAATTATTTTATTTATAAACTTTTTAATGAAGATTTTGTTCGAAATGTGCACCTCTTGCAGCAATACAAGCATTGCATCTGTCAAACACGGCTCTTGTAGCAGCCAGGCACTGTTCTTGCGATATTCTGTTAAAAGACAAAATTCATCTACTGTTAAAGGCTTTCAAAGAGCGACTGACAAATTCATAACAGAAAGTGGAAAATGTAATCAAATATGTCGGTGCTAGATATGGCAAGAAATGTAAACATTTTTTTTCGATTTCTCTGAAACGGAGCAAAAACGAGCATATGTCTATAGGACTTTTTTTCTTAGTTTTTTACTCCTCTACACGCTCCCGAAGTTTTGCGATTTAATTTGGAAACACCCTGTATATATAAAATGTGCGCATGTCTATAATTTTTTTAACGCTGCAAATTACGACTATAAAAGTAATTTTTCTTTAACGGTACTAGATATTTTCTCAATAATTTATATATGTAAAATTGAAATTGCACTTCTGTCGATTCTCCAAAATTTTGTATTAACCGTAACTTTTATTTTCTTTACTTTGTATTATATTACATTTTATCGCCTATATTAAATAAATAAACTCTTTGAAAGAAGAAAACGCAAATTTAAATGAAAATATATTCTCCGGAAAAACTGTAATAAGACATTACATAAGTTCATTTCCATTCTGTTATCAGAGAAACCTTATACATTACATTTTATCACCTATTTTAAATAATATTCTTAAAAATATGGTCTATAATAAGAATATTACACAAGTCCATTTCCACTTCGTTAGCAAAAAGAAGCAATTTGCAATAAAATTATATTCGAACAAAACGTTACATTTAGTTTAATTATAATAAATAATAAGTCGTGATTTTGCAACATTTTCATCATGGTTTTCAGGATTGGATAAACTATTTCCTCTTTCTTAACCAATTAAAATTAAAATTAATGACTATAAAATTAACTTATGTTACGTAATGTCAAAAGTTACAAAAATTACCTTCAATTTAAAATTAATTTTGAATTATTAATTTTCGATGGGGAGTACTTTGAAGGGGACAATATCACTTTTGATGAATAAACTTGTATTTTGAATTTTCTGAATGAATTCCGGGAACTTTTTGATCAAGGTAGATTGAAACAAGATCTTAGAAATTCTTAGTTTTTCGTAGATATTTGTAATGGGACGTAAAGTAGTGTTATTTATTTGAAAAACTAAGATCCTCTGCCCGCAAACAACGCCACTTTACGTCTTACATACGAATATCTACGAAAAACTATGGATTTCTGAGACAAACAAATTTCACTCTATATCTCACTACAAATATCTACGAAAAATTAAGAATTTCTAAGATCTTATCTCAATTTATACAGTTTTTCTGTATTTTTTCGTATAAAAATTTTTTTCCGCTATGGCAGGAAAACCATTTTGCATTCGAAAACCATTTAAAATACCTGTTTAGCCTTCAAATACGATAAAGAACATGATAGATAAGAAGATACGATAATGAATGGTTAAAGTTAGATGTTTCGAATAATACATTATATATTCTTTACATTAAATCAATTTATTCCAGAAGTGATTGCGCACCGATATACCTATTTATCCATTTTACATTTAAAATGAATTCGAAAAACCTATTTTGCATTTTGCATTTTAAATGAAATTCGAAAGGCATTTTACCCAGTCCTGCATAAGATAGCGTTTATTATGTAAACTCATTTTCAGTTTTAAAGTATTAAATTCTAAAGAGACAAGGTATACATGAATTGATGCTATATACTGTTATTCACAATTCATTTTAAAGAACTCCACACTAATTGTATGGAAAATTGTAGGGTATCAGTAAATTAAGTTAGTTTTTACATATAACGTAGCTTAATCTAATAAACAAAAAATATATGTCATGGACATCAATAATGGACATTTTCTGAGCTATGATAGCGAAAGTGTGAAACGACTTGTACTTCACAGAGTATACAACTAGTGAAACTTCGATATATTCTGGAAATCCTATGTGTGTTTTATTCAAAACAATATTGATACAGAAAATTATTTCGATATTTCTATTCTTGGCATCTTCTTGAATCAACCTGGGATCAACAACGTGGACGTGATAGGAAGACACTATTGAAAATCACTTATACTAAAATTTTTAATAATTTTTTCAATGCATTTAGTTTTATATGATTGCTACATGAAAATAACATTATGTATAAATGTTATGTAAAAGATATAAAATAACGTTAATTGAACAACACTGTACATCACAGCGAGTGATTCTTTGATAAATTATAGCTCAAAAATTGTTTATTATTGTGCCTGCCATTATTAATCGATATAGATTATGGGTTCGTTCTATTTGGCGTTCACAGCGCGTATGAGCATCACTTCGTCCTTGTTTAACATTTGACAAACAACAAGGATGAAATAATTCCAAGAGCTGCAAATGGAAGGGATCCTATATTTCGTACATCCGAATTATCTTGCGCGAACTATAAAACATGTTTTAGGTAGCCAAGATCTTTCAGATGCAGTAACGCATCAGCTAGCATTTTGGATATTTCGTCTCCGCCCATGTATTTATGTTTTTCCATAAAATCCAAAGAACTCAAATTTGTCATATCTTGTACCAGTAACTCTGGATTGATATGCCCTAATAATACCGGTTTGAAGATGCACATAAGAACGAAACCAAAGAGAGCACCCTTCCTAAAATCGTCCAACAAAGCATCATACGAGAATTTCTCAATGTCTTGAATGCCAGCGTCCAACAGATACTTCTTCACCGCGTCGTGATAGGCTCGCATGATCTCGGAAAATTTGTTTTTCCTCATTTCATTTGAACAACTTAAGTAAAGGTATGTAGAAAGATCGACGACGGGCGTCGAGTATCTAATAAGCGCAAAATCAATTAGCATTGGGCGATGTTGTCCATTGTCTTCTGTCTTGAAGAGAATATTGCTTAATGTAAAATCACCATGACACAACGTGGCCAAAGGTTCAAGCGGTTGCACCATCTTTATCATCACTTTATCAAACGCGTTCGACAGAATGGCTTCCATCTTATCACAGAAAATTGTATCATAGCCCTGATTGCGAAGATATTCCATGACTCGTAATGTCATAGTGTTGCTAGCAAATTTCATGATATTATCCGTAAATTTATTTGTATATCTAATTTCTTGAATTTGTGCCACAATGTTGAAGAACTTTTTCGGCTGCATCTGCTTCATGACATATCCTTTGCCATGAAATCGTCCCAATTCGCGTATTGCTGCTAAGGTGTATTCCATTGGAGAATCGTGTACATATGGATAAGCATAATATCCTCGTGTATTAACGTTTTCTAAAGCGATTGCATAATCGAAAGGTGGCCGTTCTTCGACGTAGAGACATTTCGCATAGATTTCATCCGGTCGAGGGTACACTCGATAGAACAGGATCTCATTGTGAAATTGAAGATCGGCACGAGTTATTTGCTTAAGGCCCGGCACGGGTCTTTTTAGTATTATAAACAATTCCTCCTTCTGTATATTTGTTTTATTTTCAAACTGCAAATGTATACGATACACGATGGATGCAATAAAAATGCCGGTAGTTTCGAATAACTTGTACCGAGTATTGTCAACGTCCAACCCAAGATTCTTGATGATCTTCGACATCACTTCGTCGAGCCATTCTTGAAAATTTTCGTGAGACATTTTATTTGATCACGCAATTTGCGTATTTCAATAAAAGTAATGAAATATACAAAATAATAAAGTATATTATGCTAACATTAGTTGAAGATGCCGACACAGGGATTCTTTTAGTCCCACGATGACTTCTAGGAACAAACTGACTCTCTTTTATGTATATTAATAGATCAATCAACGTTTATGTAATACTCGCATTATTCGACTAACTGAACGACTGAACGATTGACCTGAGCTTTCCTTATACCTTATACCCGTGTCACACTATGCATTGGAGTCTATGGCCCAGTTCCACAACTCACGGTTAACGCTTAACCGAGATTCAATTTATTCATTGTCTCTTTCTAATTCTAGAATTGGAAAGAGATGAGAAAAAAGTTGAACCTCGGTTAAGAGTTAACCGTGAGTTGTGAAACTGGGCCTAAATTGACAGGGTTGGGTAAGTTAATGTTTTTTTTTAACTGAATAAGGTTAAAGTTAATGACTTTACAAAATTAATAAAGTTAAGTTAAAAGTTGAAGGAATAAAAAATTAACTTAACAAAAGTTAAGTTAATATTGAATTAATTTAAGTTTAAAAAAAAGTTTGTTTCGAAAAAATTTATTTTTGAGATCAAGATGTCCTAATTTTTCTTAAAATGAGATTGAATAACAACTACAATATAGACAATAAGAATCTTATTTTTAAACCGTACAATGTGAGAAACGCAATTAATAATAGAAATTCACCAGCCAATAATAATTTTGATGCACAATCTAGCATCATATTAGCAAGATGTTATTGTGCTGAAACCCTGTAAATAAATTTATTGCGAAAAATATTACCTCGGCCGAGAGTCGAACCAGGATCTCTTGTATTCGGAGCGAAAACGATGACGTATTGATGACGTAATCAGGGTTGCTGAGAGCGTTCCGAAGCGTCAAATGGACCAGTCATGTTAAGCCCAAGACACAATGCGAGGGAATAGCGATAGCGATAGGAATAACATAGTTTCAACCTATCAGAAACTGTGTATTCCGGTGTATCCGATTTCTGATAGATTGAAATCGTGTT